ACATCAGGTAATGCCACAGCCTTCCATGTGTCATCTCATACTACTGATTCTCCTTGGATTATTGACTCCGGAGCCTCAAACCACATGACCGGTAAGTCAAATTTGTTTCAAACATATAAACTTCTCTCTGGGAGAGATAAGGTAAGACTGGCTGATGGTTCTTTTTCTACCAAAGCTGGCCGAGGCACCATGCCTCTCCCACTTGGCCTTACTCTTCCTAATGTATTGCATGTTCCGAAATTACCTATTAATTTGCTGTCTATTAGTAGTTTGACTCACTCCTTGAACTGCTCAGTCACTTTTTTTCCATCTTCATGTGTGTTTCAGGATTTGACCTCGGGGAAGACGATTGGTAGAGGAAGCATGGTGGATGGTCTCTACGTGTTGGAGAATATTGTTGGTCTAGTGGCGACAGAGTCCATGAATTCGTCAAGTGAGAGTCAAGCCTATTTATGGCATAGTCGCTTAGGTCATCTTTCTTTTGAGTCGTTAAAAGTTATGTTTCCAAAGTTATTTGAATCCTTGTCAGTGAGTCAGTTACAGTGTCAAACTTGTCAGTTGAGTAAGCATTGTAGAAGTTCTTTACCTTTACGAAATAAAAGATCTGAATTTCCATTTCATATTGTTTATTCTGATGTTTGGGGCCCTGTTACTCTACCTACTATGGCTGGCTATAAGTAATTCATTACCTTGGTTGATGATTATTCTAGATACACTTGGGTTTAGCCTATGCGATCTCGAGATGAAGTGCCACAAATTGTGAAAGATTTTCAACGCATGGTGTTCACTTAGTTCCAAACGAAAATCCATATCTTCCAGTCGGACAATGCAAAGGAGTATTTCCATAGTGATCTCACGAAGTTTTTTTGCTTCGAGTGGGTCACTTAAGCGAAGCTCTTGTGCCAAGACACCCCAACAAAATGGTGTGGCTGAACGGAAGAACCGTTTTGGATGGATGCAGTCTTGTATGCAACATATATCATCAATCGCATGCCCTCTCGGCTATTAGAGTATAAGGCCCCACATCAGCTCTTGTTCCCTACAGCCCCGATGTCCACCATTCTGATGCGTGCTTTTGGGTGTTATTGTTTTGTCCATAACCTGTCCCCTACTCGTGGTAAGCTTGATCCTCGGGCTATTCCTTGTGTTTTCCTTTGTTACCCTTTATCTCAAAAGGGGTATCGCTGCTATGATCCCATTGCTCGCAAGTACTATGTTTCCATTGATGTCTCATTCTTTGAGAATCAACCTTTTTTCTCGGTTTCTCCTCAGGGGGAGAGTAGGGTTGAGGAGAAACAGGCGACGACTCAAATTCAACTACCTC